AGAACAATAGCTTATCCTCACTAGTATTTGGTCTAATTTCCAAATATTTCTCGGGCCAAGGTTCACAAGTTCAGTCCTGCCTAAATATAATGTCTAAAAAGTTCAAATGATCTGAAAGCATAGATTTAACTAAAAATTTTAGAGTTAAGGAAGTAGTTAAGGGTTTGAAACTAATAAAGACACAAGACTGGGAGGCACCATGGCCTCAGGATCTATTTTCAATAACTGCTTTAAAATTATTCTATAATAATCCACCAGATCAAGTGAATGCAATTTTTTGGCACCGAGAAATATTTGGAAATTAGACCAAATACTAGTGAGGATAAGCTATTGTTCTTATCTAATACTGGGGGACAAATGACTGTTGCAGCAATTTCAGCAATAATAAAACGAATGGACTAGAAACGCAGGGCTGCAAGGGCATTTTATATTGCATAGCTTAAGAATTGGAGGGGCTACTGCGGCTATGAAGGGTAGCATAGCCTGATACAAATTAAGAAGATAGGTGGTTGGGATTCTAAGACAGTACTTTTATACTTAAGGTCTGTGGCAACTACTCAGATTCGGGCTTCTGAATTAATAGGGTTTTGAGAAGGTTTGTAGTTATATTTTAATTGTTTCCAATATAAGACTTTTTATCATATGACTACTGAGTAGTATTAGTACCCAATTTAGATTCAATACTCTGCAAGATCTATAAATTGTTTAGTTGTATTGTTATTCCTTTAACCTACACCAGTGTTTCAGTATTAGCTAAATGACAAAATAAAGACTACTTGAGATGAAGTCATGAGTAGCTCTTTTTGTCACAAAATCCAATAAGAACCCCGTAAGTATTGTCAATACAGAGGTGATTTTATATATATGATCAACAGAGGTTGATCGATATTGACATCATGATTGCTAATCAGGTAAACAGAGTATAAATAGTAAATATGCGGAGTAAGTTGTTTACTTTTTTTGCTTTGCTGTTGCTCGACTCTGAAGAGTTTAGCTTCTACTCTCCTTTCTCTTCTGGTAATTAGTATCGATTGAAGATGGAAAAATTGAGAATAGAGGCAGTTGTAAGTGATATTTGTTATAGTATATGAGAAAGTTAAGCAGCTATCTGGGTTCTAGCTAATATAAAGCATACTTGGCTAGTAACCTACAGTAATTATATGTTTGTATTGCAGCTTGGCCTTACAGGTCAAATGCAATTGGTGGTAGCAGCTCAGTTTTACGAATTGAATGCTACTAGGTTAATAAAAGCAGGTATAGAAACTGCGTTAACAATTAACTTGTCTAACATTTCAACTTCTAAGCACACTCGATTCTAGAGAAAAGCTGTTAAGCACATAACAGCAAGGCACAAACTCATAAATTGTTAGTTGTATTGTTATTCCTTTGATCCACACCAGTGTTTTAGCATTAGCTGAGTGACAAAATAAAAAAAACAATTTTTTTTAAAGAAATTTTAAATGTCGGCAAACCATTTTTTAAAGATTTCTCAAGAACCACCAGGCTGATTTTAGTGTTCTTACCACTATTAGATGTATTTGATAAGCTCTACAACTTTTGTTAGAAGCCCAAGAATGATTTGATTGACTTAGTAAGAAAAAAAGTTTTAGAAGAAATCTATCCACATTTGGCTTAATAGTAAAATTTACTTATAAAATTTGCAAAACAGCTAATGTTGAAATTAGTATGTTTACTAATTTTTTTTCTGATTCTGGCCAATTAGAATACAAAATCAGATGTAATATAAAGATCAAAACAACAATTGCTTTTTTTGAAAAGACCTTTTGAGCACTAACAAAAAAATTTTTCGCAAAATTTTGGTATAAGGTTGTCCACTAACACTAATTAAACTCTAACTTAGATATCATATTTTAAATAGAAAGTAGTATATAAATTGGTGTGAATGATACTAGCTAATAAAAACTTGGAGTGAAATAAATTGGTAATGCTAAAATTTGGGGTCTTGATTTAAAAATATAAGCTCTGCTAAAATCTACATATAAGGGAGATGAGGTATTGTGAGCAGGAAAATATTGTGTGCCAGTAGTCATATCTTGTGATATAGTGATCAGGATTGGATAAAATTTATACCATTTGATTTGTCTCATCAAGACAAATTGAATAGTATAAATTTTATCTAATTCTGATCACTAAATTACAAGAAATCATTATTTAAGCAAAATATAAATTTTCATATATATTTGAGTTTATTATTAAAGGTTATATAATTTAGCGCATATATGTTGTAACTAGAGTAAGTAGCACAAAGATTATTGGCATGCCAGAATGGTATGTCTATGGTGGTATGCTATAGGCATGCCTAATGTTCAGATTGCCTATAGGTATGCTATTTATATATATTCTGAAAGGTTCTGAATAGAAAATAAAATAATATAAATTCTGAAAGGAAAATTAGAACAATACTCCAAAGTATTCTGAAAGATTATTTTATAGTAGATGATAACTGACCAATTCCCATCGAGTATATTATTGCGTGGTTTAATGGCATGCCAGGGTGGTATCCTGGCACAAAATTTAATAATTGGCATGCCATATGGCATGCAATATTTTTTAGCTATGCCACTTACTCTAGTTGTAACACACCCACCTGATTGACCAATCAGATTGTAAGATAGGTATAATGTGAAATAAATATATCAGGGCTGCTTCTCCAAAGTCTAGTTGATAATTAATATCAGATTGATAATCGATAATCGATATTACTGCTGCAGCAGCTGCAGAATATATTTTATTTTAATATAAGCAGACAATCAATAGCAGTGATATCAATCATCAATCTGATATTGACCATTGATCTGAACTTTTAGAGGCTGTCTGATATATTTAATATAAAATTAAAAAAATAGTGATATTTTGAAAAAATTGCTTGTAACTTATAATTTTCTTATGAAACCATCTTTTGCATTCTAACAAAAAAAATTCCTTGCAAAATTTTGGGTATAACTAATATTTATTTACAATTTAACCTAACTCTACATTAGTACTAACTCTTATTCTAAATTAATGCATTATTGATTTGTTTTGATTTCATATTATACCAGATTTTATGAGGTGCATCACAATGCATGTATGCTAAATGATAAAATTCTATTATTAAATATACATA